TTTGAACTTGACTAATTTGTCATTGTCTTTCCAGTGGTGTGCTCGATAGTACCTGAATCCACTTTTTGCAAAATAGCCATTTTGCCCCTAGTTTTCTTTTTGTCCGTTTTTGAAACGACACTTCTGCATTTGTTTTCTTTGGGTTCCGTGACTTCATTGAGGGTCACATTGGTGTCTTAGAGACGCATTGTATCTCTAGAGACCATTGTTTCACCTTTCGCTTCCGCATTTCGGATCCATTATCGGGTCATCTTGTGGTCATCACTAACGCACTAGGTTTACAAAAACTTGGGCCGTCACATTAGCTCCGCTTCAACTCGTTATAGGAACTCTTGCACTCTTGATTCTAACTTAATTCGTGGAATATTTTGTGTTATTTACCGATTTATCTATTGATTTATGTAATTTTGGATTTCACTTGAAGTTCTGATTACTTTTTCTAAATGCCTCTTTCTTCTTATATATGCTTCCTACTCTTTTAACATGCATGTATGGTTGTTTATGTTTGATGATCTGTTTTGATCCCATTAATGGTTTTTCCAACTGTAAGTTCTTTTTCTTTTAATTTGCAATTTTTTTTTCTTTTTTTTTTTCTTTTTTTTTTTTTAACTTTAGGTTCTGGGTTGAGGTTGGGTTAGTTATTTTTGGGGTTCTTGAAAGATTCCTATTATTTCTTTTCAATATAATGAGGATTATTAGAGATATCACCACAACTAAATTCTTTGTCCATTGTTGATTTCTGTAAGACTTTCCAATTGTTATTGTTCCATCTTATTTGTTATACAGATTTACACTTTTGAGTGGGAGCATAGAAAATGAACTAGATTAAACAAGCAAAACCATAGAATAGATCATGACATGTGGATTTTAATGTTGAATTGGAGATGTCCACTGAGATGGAGGGTAAATATATCAATTTTTGCAGAGATTATTCTAAGAGTAGTAACCATAGCGAGCAATAGAATGATTTGCTATTTTTTGGGAGATGAATTTAATATTTTTTATTTTTTATTTCTCGATGTTAGTTGTCTGAATTTTCAATTTTTTTTTTCTTTGTACAGGAGGAAATAATCGATCTTAGCTTGGATTATTGGAACAAGTTTTGTCGTTGATTAGTCTGATTTCGTTTTTCAGGTAATTTCTTTCTTTCTTTTTTTGTGTTCCAACATTGAGATCTAAAGCATTTTCTGTTGATTAAAGTCATATTTTTGACCTATGGTCATAATCACACTTGCCTCTTATTTTTAATTCATTAAAGCTTATAAAAAACTTATTTGCTCATTTGTTAGTGTCGATAGTCCTTAACTTTGCCATTTTAAATCTATTATTACTCACCAAATATATATAATAAGTCTATAAATTAGTTGGTTCAACCGCAAAAACTGAAAAGGGGAAAAAAAAAAAAAAAACACAAAGTTTATGCAAGTTTGGGAAGAAAATTATACTGCTACTTAGTTCAGGTGAGAGTTTTTGGGAATGTTAAGGACATAAGAGCCAAATGGTAAAACCTAACTCTTTCAATACTAAGCATCCAATAAAAGGCTGAAAAGTACAAATAAAAATTAAAAAAAAAAAAAAAAAACAAAAACAAAATCTGTTTGGCTTCCTACAAGTACAAACAGCATGAAAAAATAAGAAGAGTAAAAAACTGATCAAAATGGGACAGAAAGACGCAACAAAACTCCCCAATATAATGTCAACTAACTCTTTCACGAATCAAATACAACATTTCAATTGCAAGTCTACATATTTTCAGAAACACATAGCCAATTAGCATTTTAAGATCCTGAATATTATATATCAAGAAGAGTACAATAACAACAATTCAAAAAAATAAATAATAAAAAAAGCTGACGGAAATTTATACTTATGTGTTCGTTGGTGATCATCTTTGAACTATATAATAATTATTTCATTTGAACTAATGTTTGTTGATTTGTAAAAAAATTTAGTGTGTTTATGTGTATATATGAAGACATGGGAATTTGATTACAGTTTTACTTCATTTGTTTGAAATGGAAAATACTCCGTCCGTTCCATGTTAAAAGTCCACTTTGGATAGGATGTAAAACGTAATCTATTGAATACTAATTGCATAGCATTAAAAACAGTTGATCGGAAGTTCAAGTCTCAATATAAATATGTATGTGTTACTAAATATTTTAAAATTCATGAATAACAGTGGCACAATCACTAAGTACTTAAACTACTATTTTTCAATTCTTTTTAATTAATTATTTTTCAATCCTCAATATTCTTTTTTTTTAGCTCAATTCAAAAACTTGAGTGTTATTTTTATTCCAAAGCAAAGCCTTCCTTATGCAGTTGTAATTTCCATTGGACAACCAAAAACACCCTAAAGTTTTGAGGTATTTGTTATTTCTTTTTATTGGTTTTACTTGGATTGTGCACTGCCTTTTTTTAACAATTTGATTGCATTCTCTTAAATGAATTCTCACTTTTTTGTTTGTTTTTCCAGGAATGATAAATAATAAGCTGATAATGAAACGAACGGTTACTGAAGTGGAAAAAGTGAGTGAAGAAAATACAGAAGCTTCAACTTCAAAATCATCCCAACCACCGCCGAAGAAGAGACGGGGCCCGACACGATGCAAGAATGTCGTAAACGCGACAACCTTATTACCATTAAGGTACATATATATAGAGATAATCTTATATGGTTTACATAATTAGACTATATTCACTATGAAAGAGAAAAAATGATTTCTATCTTTATTTTTGTACTAAACATCTAAAATTGTTAATTTTTGTTTAGGGTTAATAAGTATGGACAGCCGATCGGCCTTGGAAGTGGTACATATACTAATTATTTGGGAACACTTGCCCGGAATGGTAAATTAGCTCATTTATGCTACAAAACTTGGTGGGAGATGCCTAAACGGCTTAAAGACGATATGTGGAACATTGTAAAGATAAAACCCTTTAATGACATTAAAATAATTTTTATGGAAAAAGTGGATTCACATGCAGCAATTATCACATTTTTAGGGAAAGTATGATGTGGGAATCATGTCAAAACAGTGGACATTATCCTCCATCGGAAAAAAATGGAGGGGGTACAAGTGTGAATTAAAAAGTGAATACTGCTTGGTTAGGGATACAGATGCAGAAAGACTGGCAAACCCACCACCTGATGTTGAAAAGGAGCATTGGGAATTTTTGCTTAGGCATTGGGGTACGCCTATGGCGAAGGTAATCCTTCATCTACCAATTTTGTTTAAAGTCAATGAGTTGAATTTATAGTTTACCTGCTTTTAGTCATTATTTTAGGTGGAATGTTCTTTACTCAAAGAACGTTTACTTTTTCTCACTTTTTGTAGGAGGTTAGTGAAAAAAACAAAGAACGTTGTGGGAAGTAGACAATGATGCATACTACAAGGACAAAAAGCTTTGCACGTATTTCTGACGAGGTTAGTTGAAGTTTTGGCAATATAAATTATTTCAATTCTTATGTCATTGAATGATTATAAATGTTAGTGGTAAATAATATAAATCACTTCTTGTGCAGCTTTCTTGCTGCTTCGGAGATGATTTTAAGTTTTCATGCTTCCATTTTGCAAAAAGGGGGTCACGTGCCTTGAAGTGACCAATTTTTAAATCATCGGCCCGAGTGGAGGCATTTTAATTTCATTGTTTATCATTGGCCCGTGTGGAAGCAATTTACTTTCTTGTATTTGTTGAAAAGCATGGGAGTATGGTGTCATTGTATGTGGAGACTTCTTGTTGATTGATTTGTGTTGTGGAGGAGAAGTATTTGCTATTTGTTATTTGTTGTTTGTGTTAATTTCTTACTTATACCAGTGCAATGGTCTTTTGAATGTAGGCAACTTCAAATAATAGGAATAAGGCTTTGTTGAGTTAAGGTGAATAAGAGTTTTTGGTTATGCAACATATTCTTATGTTTCACACAAAAGAGGCAGTTTTTATTCACATCTGGCTTTCTCCACTTCCCATTCAACTGTTATGTGTGTCTACAACCCAATATATCACTGCTTTGAATCAATCACACTTTATCTTGGAACCCATTCTAGCCCTTGTTAGAGTCATTGAATGGTAGAAATCAAAACTAGTACAAGCTTGATTCTTGCTAATAATTTCTTTTTCTTTTTTCAAAAAAATACAAATAGTTAAAGAAACAATAAAGTAAGACTAAAACCAAGAAATACCATGTGACAGACCTATATTATTCATCAGTTTTAACAAAAATTGGACTTAATTATTAGGTTCAGCCATTAGGCGCGCACACACACACACACATATATATATAGGCATTGCATGCTAACACAGTAACACTTGCTTGCTTACGTATGATAGATAACAGAAAATTCATTATTTTCTGACCCCTTCATATTTAAGTATAGGTAGCTAAGAACCAAACTTTGAGTTTGCCTTTTGGTACGTGATTCAGATATGTGGAAACAAAGATGACAGTTGCTTATAGTAAACTCTACTTTTATTTATATAACATGTGAAATGGTACTTAGAAAATTTGTGTTGTTATTTAGTTGAGTTTCTAAGGTTCTGTCAAGTGAATGAAACCTTGCAATAAAACTTATAAAATATAAATGGGTATATGAAAACACCGTAAGTGTCCGTCAAAGGCTTCAACTTAACCAATTCGTTATTTGTTAAGAATGTGATCAAATAGTTGTTGAACCAGTTGCTGGTCTTGGGCATGCTGATTCTTTCTAATGTCTATGAATGTATTATGTCTAAATCAGTTGGTTTCATGAGAAGTCAGTTGTTTTTTGATTTTCTACTTGTAGCAAGCAATAGCCAAAAAAAAAAAAAAAAAGATAGAAAGAAAAGAAAAACAAGCATTAGCCATAACCAATTTTTTTTTTTTTTTTTTTTTTTTGCAAGGAAACATAAAAGAACTTCAAAAAAGTTACTATGACTCGCCTATTGGCAGTTCCAATGATTTGTTCTCCATTGTGAGGGGAGAATAGAGAACTGGTCGTGTGCGAATGCTTGGCTTGGGGCTTACACCAAGCGATGTTTGGGGGCCTCTCCTAGTAAAGCTGAACTGATTAATAATGCCAAAAAATCTGATGAGGAGGCACGTGCTGCACGTGTAGAGTTGCAGGAGACCATTTCAAAAATGCAAGCCGACTATGACAAGAAGTTGGAAAATTTACGAGCCAACTATGACGACAAGTTGGAAAATTTACAACAACAGGTGGCTATGTTAATGCAGATGCAACAAAAAAAAATTGTAGTGGACAGGTTTATTTATTATTAGTTTTACTCGTTACTATATATATGTTTACTGATGCCAAGATTTCATGTATTTTGTTTTGTTATTTTGAAGGGTTCTGATTCTTTAAATGCTCCTCCTAGAGTATCCCCAAATTCATTTTCTAGTCGTGATGCCAATTCAATTAAGGTTATGAACTTTTAATTTCTCTTATATGTTAAATTTTCATTTATTAAAATGTGCGCTTAATGAATTTATAAAAAAATGTAGGGTAATTCAAATCAAATGGGCAAGAAGACTTGTTGAAGTTGAAGTTGAAGATGAGGTCATGGCTGTGCTTTCTGAATTTCCTTTGCCTTGGATGGGTTCTTTTTGAAAAACTTGTATAACATTTGTCAAAAATTCTTAATTCTTTTTGTGTGACATTTAGTAGCTTTATCTAGACAATTTGGATGGTATTTTCATATTGGCAGGTTAACTTGTGGTTGTATTAGTATACATTTTGGCTTTTTGATTGACATTTACCATCTTTATCTATTAGTAGCCAATTTCGATGGTATTTTTCATTTTGGCAGCAGGTTAACTTGTGGTTATATTATGTAAAAACAATTTGGATTGTATTTTTATATTGACTTGTGTTCTATTGGATGACATTTAGTAGCTGTAAAGATATTTTTTCCAAAAACAATAAGGGGGAAAATATATATATATATATATATATATATATATATATATATAAAATAACCCTTTACCAGCGCTCTTTTAAGAAACGCTAGCATAGGGGAAAAAATAAATAAATAAAATGACCCTTTTACCAGTGCTCTTTTAAGAAGCGCTGTCATAGGGGGAAAAAATTTAAAAATAAAATAAAATGACCCCTTAGTGCTGGTAAAAACCGTATGCCAACGCTTTTGAAAAAGCACTGGTAAAGGGTATTTACCAGCGCTTTTGAAAAAGCGTTGGTAAAGCCCTACCGACACAGGCTTTACCAGCGTTTTTTCAAAAACGCTGGTAAAGTGCTAGTAAAGTGCTGGTAATTAAATTACCAACGCTTTTTAAGGCTTTCACCAGCGTTTTTGAGCTCTAGTGAAAGCCATAACTATTGTAGTGGGTATGTCGCGGTCTCATTAGGATTTCGGGATCCATGTAAAGCCTTAAGACCATATTTTGATGTAAGTGGACTGGTTTTCTATTAAACGAAGTATTGGACTCATTTACGGCTTATTTAAATGCAAGGATGATTTATTATGTTTTATACTGTCATACATACATTTTCGGGACAGGTTTATACCGTATTTAAGGTCCATAATGGACAAAAGGGGCGTCGGGGTTACAAAGCAGCCATATTAGGCCAAGCAGGCCTTTATAGGGAAAACCAGTCAACGCCTGGGAATTTTCCCATCGATCGGTATCTTCCAGTGAGCATTTTCGAGACTGGGAGCTAAACTAGTCGACGTGTAAGGGGTACACGTTGACCGGTTTAGCTAAACCAGTCGCGTATATCTTGTACACGTCGACTGGTTTTTAGGCTTCCTCTGTTTGGTTTCCTTCTTATTCTGTAGCTAATCCGAACCTATTTGTCGATGCTATGGGACACTATGAGACTCAAAATGAGGTATTGATTACATTTTGACAACGTAAATGACGGTAATGCCCTTAGATGACCTCTGGTTCGGGTAAAGACCCGGATATGGATTCGGACTCCCGGATTTGGGTCATTACATAAAGACCATTTTACCCTTAGTTTCACATTATATTTGTTTTGACCTTACCTTCCGCATTTCAAACTCGGTGTCGAGTTGGGATTTAGGACTATTCTTGTTTATGCGCCGAATTTCAGAATTTGGGGTATCACAAAGGGTGCAAGATCGATGACCAGATCGTTATGGTGCTCAGGGTTGAGTATTATAGGTCACCACCCACGAAGGGTGAAGAAGGATGACCTGAGTATTATGGTGCTCAAGGTTGAGTATTATAAGGTCTCCATCCCTGTTTGGGGCAAATGTAATGACCCGAATCCGATGGTTCGAATCGTTAACCGGGTCCTTACCCGAACCCGAGGTTGTCTAAGGGCATTAAAGTCCTATCCAATATCAATACATAATATATATACGTAAGGCTACATTGGCCGCCACTTCCTTCCCGTGACCTGAAAATATTAATATAAGGGGTAAGCACAACCGCTTAGTAGGAGGTGCCTAAGACACACCTTTTAATGACCCCGTGAATCCACACAAAGTATAAAATAAAGATATACGGGATCATACCATAGGGAAAAATGCAACAACAATAACGATAACAACAACAACTATAATATAGACCATCTAACCATATGTAAACGATGCATGCCAATGTAATGCAATGACATGCCAATGTCGCTCCCCATTTTTCAAAACATTTCCATTTTGAAAGTTTATAAATAGCAATGGTGTAGCATATTCTGAATATACTTTTTCTGTTCTCTTTCTTGTATTATATCTAGTCATAACAGTTTCAATGAGTGTTTAGGGAATTCCTTCAGTATTGCTAACTGCAGGAATTCAAACTTTGTTATATCCTGGGAGTGTTTTGCTACAAAACCCATTAGCAAACTTAATTTGAGTGGGGGTAAATAAAACTTTAAGGAAAGTGAATACAAGCCTCAAAGTCTGTATTTTGTTTGACATCAGTATGCTTAAGAAGGTTTAGTTATCTCTAACAATTTTTGGATCAATTGTCTTAACAATCTTAAAGTGTTATTTAGATGGAGACTATATCAGACAATACTACGTTCAAGGTTATGAATCAAGACTTTGTGAAGTTAGATCGATTTGATGGATCTAACTTTACTCTTTGGAAGGATAAATTAATATTCCTACTCACTGTTCTTAAAATCTCATATGTTCTGGATCCAAATCTCAAACCATTCCCAGAGCCAATAGATAAAGATACAGAGAAAATGATTAAAGATAGGAAGAAACGAGATGAAGATGAATTGGTTTACAAAGGTCATGTTCTGAACACACTTTTAGACCAATTCTACGATCTCTATACTCCTATGAAGTCTCCTCGGGAAATTTGGAATGTACTAGAATTCAAGTACAAAACTGAGAAACTAGGTACGGATAAATTTTTAATATTTAAGTACTTTGAATTCTCAATGGTTGATAATCTGTCAGTTTTAGATCAAGTTTATGAATTACAAGTTCTAGTCACAAAGCTTCGTGAAGTGAAAATTGTACTTCCCGAATCCTTCCAAGTGGGGGCTATCATTTCAAAGTTGCCTCCTAGTTGGAATGATTATAGAAAGAAATTTCTGCATAAAACAGAAGAATTTACTTTGGAAGAAATATAGAAGCATTTGCGAATTGAAGAAGAAACTCGAATTCGTGATAAGAAATATTATGTTAAAGATTCTTCCAAAGTGAATTATGTGGATGGAGGCAAATCAAATAAATATTAGAAAGGCCTCAAGTTGAAAAATAAAGGGACTTTCAAAAGGAATCATCCTTATAAGAATAAAAATCCTTCTAGACCATATTTCCATTGTGGAAAGAAAGGACATTTTATTCGTGATTATAGGTACAAAAAGTACGAAAAGAAAGAGAATGCTGATCAGTTGGTCAATTATACATCAACCTTCGCAATAGCACGAATCATTGTAAAATAGGGCTATTGGTCGGGTAAGTCAAACTACTGGGACTGTGCTAGTCTAAGGCAACCTAAGTGTTTAGAGTCATCCTTAGGATGATGAAGGGGTGTTCATAGAGGTTGTGTTTGTTGTCACTTAACTACAAATTCAGAATGCATACAATAATAAATTGAAGGAGATTAAAAGAGAAGATTTAGAGAAGGAAGTCTAGGGAAGTGAATCCACTCCAAACCTCTACACAAGCCAATTATATGATTGATTTGGGGAATTAATGTAGAAATGACCATGATGAATAGCAATTCATGACTACTATATCATCTTCAAGAAATTCAATTAATTAAAATGTAAGAACAACCTATCAAAGCTCCACATGCTTAAATTACCTAAACTATGGTGCAATCCTCAACATGCTCACTAAGCTAGAGATTGTCAAACAAGTAATCAATTGATGAGAGCACATGATAACAAGTCACAAGGTTAATCCATCAAAAAAAATTCTTAAGCAATGAATTAACAAGCTACTCAAAATCATGCCATTAAAACCATTCCATAGTCTTAGCTCCATTGTCACTATGAAACTACAAGCCATACAACGATAAGATTAAATCATCTAAGACAAGAGTATTTAATGCAACATGATCTTTAGAACATTAAAACATCCATTACATTATGTAACATGCTCTAGATTATGGAACTAGTCAAATACACATTTCATTCCCCAAAATAAATCAAAAACTAGATATGCTTACAAGGAGGAGTTTCATCACCTCCCTAGATGGAGGCTTAGCTATCCATGGATACAAAAATGGAAGAAGAAGAAGAAGACTCCATCTCCATTTTCGAGCTCCTACTGTAGCACTCAAGAACACCCTCCTCCTTGCTCTCTTCTCTCTCCTCTATCTTGCTAAAATCAAAAGATAACAAATGTGTGGCCTTTGGTAGCTTTTTATTCTCCAACAACACCCTCTCTCTCTCCTCCAAGGAACACCTCCAACCACTTCATAAAGAAGGAAGATGGCATTGAGGAAACCAATGTGCAAGTGGCTGAAATTGAGCCATTTCTGAGAGCAATCTGCCTGATTTTCGAGCACTCGAAAAGTGATCTCGAGCACTCTAACTTAGTGCAATGTGCAACATGCTCCTCTTGCTTAGCGCTGACCTATTTTGGGAAAACTGCTATAACTTTGTGCCCCGAACTCGGAATGATGATCTGTTTGAAGATTTGGAGAGCGGATTCCGTGATTTAAAAACTTCATGTTTTGATGAAGACCCAATTCTCAAGTCTGGTTGGTCGAAAATGAAGATCAAGGCAGAATTGCATTGCTGCCAGGCAGTTCTGCGCACCTCTGGTAACAAGGCCATAACTCTCTACTCCGAGCTCTGAATGACAAACCGTTTGAAGATTTGGAAAGCTGATTCAGAGCTCTAAATCTTTCATGTTATGAGGGAAGTCCAGTTCTTGAGTTTTCTAGGTCGAAAATGGCAACAAAAGTCAGGATCACTGCTGCCAGAAATTCAGAAATGGCATCCTTTTTGTTCAAAATTCCACAAGGCATCATTTTTGCTTCCTTTTTGCACTTTAACCTGAAAATGCATAAAAACATGCAAATGGAGTTAATCTACATAAAATAATCAATTAATGAACTTTGTTAATGTACTTTAGGGCGCTTGAATATACAATATTCGGCGCTTATCACACCCCCAAACTTACATTTTGCTAGTCCCTTAGCAAAACTACAATGAAAAACATAATGAAAAGACAACCATGGGCATGCTACTACAAAAATATCATCCATGGTAAAATGAGATAGATACATAGCTCAAATACAACTTGAAACAGACAAAAACTGGAGATGGGGTCATTGGGAA